GAGAGAGAGAGAGAGAGAGAGAGAGAGAGAGAGAGAGAGAGAGAGACAGAGAGAGAGCGAAATGAAAGTGACATCTCACTTTTTCGGGGTTTGCAGCGTTCGATCGATATAATCAGATTCGGATTCACTGTCGCACTCCTCGATGTACTTGCGCTTGCGGCCACGACACACGCTGTGCACGGCCGTGTTTGACATCGAGGCGATGCTACTCACATAGCCGCCCATCGTCGCGACGCGATTCTTGTCCAAGACCGTTGAGAATTTGTGAAGAGAAGTACGAGCGCGCGTTCGCGCACAAGAATCGTACACCGCAGTAGCTCTCACTCCTCTTCCTCGATTATACCGCTCGTATACGCGGCGCCAGAATCCTTGGAGCCCATGCAACGCGTAGGCGACCGTACTGGCGCATGGGCGGATTGCGTTGAGCGAGGCACACACAGCGCATGTAAACATCCGAACATATGTAGGGGCCAGGGCCGGCTCGAGGCGGGGCACGCGCTGGCACGCTGCGTTTTCTACTGCGTACTTTCAGCTCGAGTTCCAGCTCGCGTCCAGCTACTCGCGCGTCGTCCACGCGCTGCTGGTGCACCGGACTATTTGTGACAGTGGCGAACGTTTAAAGTAGCAAACACTTGAAGGAAAAATAATTAAAAGAGATATATACAAGAAACGGTACGCAACACGACAGGTATGTAGCAGGCTGTTTACTCGAGAAGGTCGGTCACGTTGCCGGTTTTCTCACGGACTCGAGTGATATTTTTTTCAATGGAAACAAGTGTGTCCCACAAGTGTGGAACTCGCAACACGTTTTGAATCGAGTGAATCGTTCACAAGGCAACGCGTGTCACACGCACGCATGCACGCACGCACGCACGCACACTCGCTCGCGCACGAGACTCCTCGTGATACATCCGTGATCGATCACCTGTTCCATCCCTACTGAACTAAATATGCAGCGCGTTCGGTAAACACATCGATTCTTTTTTTCTTGACACCATTACGACGCACTGCGCTTGTTGCACGCTTCGCTAATTATTTTTGCGTTGGCATGACAAATCGAACTCGTAAGGTTCGCGGCGATTCTCAGGGCTCGATGCAATAATACACAGCGGCATTGTAAATTACGAGGAACCGTGTCTCCACGGATTGAGAACAGGTGGATCTCGTAATCGCATAACCTCTTATTAGATTATCGTAATGTGCCAATGAACCAGCTGCTATCCAGACCGATGACACCGACAATAAACGGATGATTGAATTCAAGGCTGATGTCAACAAGCTTTACGCGACATTGTATAATGCTTTAAGTCACAAAGATGTTACGACGAAACAGGTAATTCTTTATGCAACTATCCATCCGTGTAGTTTATGAAGAATATCACTGCAAATGTCTATTTGTGTGTGTATATAAAAAAACAAAATATAAAAATAAAACCCAAATAAAATATCTCACAATAATATATCTGTTAATTTTCTTTTTTTTCTTTCCCAGATAGCACCAAAACATCCTGGATGTGTTCAGGACATCCTAGCATACTCCTTATCCTGGATGTCCTGGATATATCCTGGACGTATCCTGGACATATCCTGGATGATTTTTGAACATTTTGTACTATTTGGATTGCTATTTTTTTTCCCAGATAGGAAAAAATGTTCTGAGATCATTCTAGATATATTTAGAATATTCTAGAATATTTCTCTAAGCATTCTGAATACATAATGGATAATTTTGGAATATCTTGTGCTATATAGGTTGTTAATTTTCTTTCTTAGATAGCAGATAAAACATTCTAGAGATACTCAGAACATTCTAAGACATTCCTCAGGATATCTTGGATACATCATAGATAATTTTGAAATATCTTATGCTATCTGGGTTGTTAATTTTCTTTCTTTAATTTGTTAGAATAACATTTGCAAGATTTCAATTGTGTCACAATATATCAATAAATTATTTAGGTAATTGATGAAGTCATATTGAACGCAGGTTGAAACATAGGATAATATCCATCGCCTTGATAGTTGCTGCGACAATATTTTACAATGAGTATTTGGTGTACGAAATGCAGAAATTCAAGTGGGCCATGCGCGAGTGCTCAGCCTGTGTCAAGATCCTCCTCGTTGCAGACCCGCAAATACTCGGGGAGAAGAACGAGAATTATTTTGGCTCATGGTTAGCGAGATGGGACAGTGATAGGTATGACCCTTGGTGAATGAATTTCACCTCGGAATTTGTCACATTGATCGATCAGTAACTACGTGAGAAAGCAGTATCGTGTTGAGAATCATATCTCTGATTTGCATTGCATAGTGCTGTGCTTTCAGGTACTTAGAAAAGACTTTCTCTAGAGCACTAAAGTACTCTCAGCCGCACGTTATCGCCTTCCTCGGCGATCTCATGGACGAAGGTCACATAGCAAATGCGGAGAATTTCGAGAGATACAAGAGGAGATTGGATTCGATATTTTCCATGCCAGACGACATAATGGTGCCTGTCCTTCTTATTTCATCGTGTTCTAACATGGCTTTATCTCTTTCCTTCTCAGGAGATCTCTCTATGATGTTTATTCTTGTTTGTTAAGCTTTGTTCATCAATTTATTCTTATCTATTTGCAGAAAATTTACTTGCCAGGCGACAATGACATCGGAGGCGAGGACGACCTTGTCTCTCCCAACATCCACAACAGATTCAATTTCGCGTACACTCAGCCAGACACGTTAGTTTACAAGACCGTCACCTTCTTCAAGGTAAACCTGAAAGTTCCAGTCGCATAAATTTTGCGTTTACATCAGTGGAACAAATATATGTGTCATTGTAGGTGAACAGGTTGACACGTATGATGCCGGAAGCGCCGAAGGATGCATTTCTCAATGATTACGCCGAAAGGAACACGACCAATGTTATTCTTAGCCACATGCCGTTATTGTTCATGCCCGGCAGCTTCGTACAAAACGTATGTTTCAATATTATAAGCGAGGAAAAATCAGAAGAGAAAAAAAAGAGGATTTGTACTGCCATTTGTAGATTATACTTCCATGTGTACAAATACTTTGTAGATTACATTAATTTATACGTATACTCAAAATGGTTTCGACACAATGAAATTGAAATCTCACTAAACACACTGAACTCAAAATTATTACCGACGGACTTACACGATAATAATATATCTAAAAATACTAAATAATAAATATAATCACTGAGTAAGCCCGTCAGTAATAATTTTCAAGTTCCTATTAATAGTTGTTATTTGAAACTTGTCTCATGTGAGATACTCAGATTTTTATTAAGAGTTATATTCAAAGTTCTTCTGCTGATGTTCTATCTGCAACAGGTACTCAAAGAGTTATCGCCGCAAGTGATCTTCACTGCTCACGAGCACAAAGCGATGCACGTGAGCCTGGACACGGCGACCGATCAGTTGAGTGAGATCGGGATCCTCCCGCCGCACGAGACGCCCTTGTATCAGTTGCGGATGGATGTAGGGGACATTCATGAAGTACAAATACCGACATGCTCTTACAGAATGGGTACACCACACATGGGTTACGGGCTCGCCTATATCGGTACTTGTTCACTGTAGTTAACTGTGTTAACAGTAGTTAATTAAATATGATCGAAACGTTAACGACACGTTGGTGATCGACGCTATTCGACACTTCAGACACTCAAGAGAAAACCTTGGAGTTCACGATCCTGTGGCTACCGAGCAGATTCCCGCAGCTGTGCGCTTACGCGCTCATGATCGTGCTGATCGTCTTAATTGCCGCTTGTACTTTCGTCTCAGGCTGTTGCTCGAAAAGCTATGCGACTTACAGTCGTATACCTTCCGTATAGGATAGCGTACAATCAAAAGAAGTACTTATATTACGCTTAAACGGTGAGTTAACTTGACGTCGCAAATTAGGTACAAAGATCCGTCCAGGAGATGACGATCCTTCTATCGTCTCTGTGTCAAGTTTCACGGGTAAAAGTAACAGAAGTATAGTGGTTGTTCGTTAGTCACACCGTGTTAGAACAAACGTTCACCAGGTGCCAGATTTCGATAAGACTTATTAATTATATGGACATAATAATGGGCTCCCTATAAACCTTAATCTCAAAAGGAAAAGAAAAAATCGTTAATTTTCGAGGAATCTTAAATTTCTCGGAGTGTGATTCGCATTTGAGAAATTTCCAAAACTCTCTAGAGTTACTTACGTCGAATATGTTTGTTTGTCATGATCTTGATTGTTGTATTCACTGTGCTGTGACTATAAACGTAATGCCAAACTTGTAATACACTTTGTTAGTGAGCGCTGCAGCGCTGACTTTAGATAAATGACATCTGAATCGTCGATTTGACTTAATAAGTTTATTTGTGACCGAGAGGATTCCCGAACAGAACAAAAATCAAATTACAATTCTTATGGAAATCTTTTAGGGTTGCATTCCAAAACATTCTTTTTGAGGAAAATTTTACTCAATACTTATATTTCACGTTACATATACTATAGAATATCGAGTAAAATTTCCTCAAAGACATTTTGGAACGCAACCTAGAGTAACATATTTGGTATCCTACATATTTATATATTTTTTTATTTTATTTCTTTTTATATTATCTTTAAACGCTTCGAACAACTGGTTGTTTTTTGTACTTATAGCTATTACTGGCAAAAAGTGTTGTGTATTATGTACATAATATTTCTTCGGATATTGATGTTATGTTATGAGATCTCTATGTGAACGTGCAATTGCCAAACTTAAATGTGACTCTCGCGAGCCACTATTACTCAGTTATAAACAAACTTTCCCACATTGAACAATATGTAAAGATTTTTATTAAGAGATTATTATTACTCGAATTGACGATGATAACGTCAATTACAGGAAACCCGCCGATTGTACTTGCTTTTAATTAATGAAAGATTTATCGTATGATATTGTAAGTATAGAGAAAGAAGTAAAGAAGAATTGTTAAAAAAGTGAGGGCTTGTGTTTTAGATAGGTCAATTTATATTTCTCCGCCAACTTGTATATACATATTTGCCTGAAATAAATGTTGAATGTTGAGACATCGTCTTCTTATTATCTAAGGATATCTTGTAGATATTTAAAATGAAAATCTTGCAGCGTGTCGCTCCGTAAGCGGTACAATGATTTATATAGCATTTAAGGATGAATATAAGATGATTTTAAATATAAAATTAAATATAGCTAAAATATAAGAACGGATTATGAATCAATCTTATATAATGTGCGCATTAGCACATTAGTGCTTCCAATCGAATTCGCCACGTTATTCGTAATAAAGTATCATATGTCTGACCAATTGTTGAGTTCTACTATTGAAGACTTAAGTATGGCTGACTATCGTTTAATTGTACCACGACTTTAAATCTTCATTAAAAGAAGATTCATAGCGGAGATTTTAGTGCTAAAAATACTTTAGCCGAGATTCGAACCCCACTTGTCTAGTAGGTTTTCCTAGACATTGCTAGATGTCGCTACTTGGTGAGTAGAGTAACATTTAATTAGCCAATCAGGGCAAAAGGAACTAAGATGTATTTATTATGATTGGTTTATTAAAGTAACTCCCATCAAGTAGGATTTCTGAACATAGTCTTGCATATTCGACTGGCCCTGGGTTAATCGCTTCGAGAGCAATTAATGATGTCATAAGTCTTTACTAGCCAATCATAAAGCTTATAAGTACTTGTTCAACCAATAAACGTAGACTGAATAACCCAGAGTGAGTTAACCCAGAGCCAGTCGAACATGCTGTAAGTCAGAAGTCTTTTATTTTCAATCTTTACAATTCAATAACAAGTCGATTTTTCTATTTTCCAGTAGTAAAACAACGACAAAGCGAACGAAATTTCATTATTTGACAACACTGACGTCAACAAGACAAACTTTTATTTTTACTGGTTTGGTTTATATCGTGCACTTGATACGCGTACTAAATAGTAACTTTCTATTAGATAATCTTAATATTGACAATGCATATCGATGATATGCATGACAATGGCGACGCGTTCAATT